TGTTGCCATTGCCTCTGAGGCTGATCACCCAACCACTGATGCTTAAAACTATCTTTGATGGAAACTCTGAATTATTGCATGGATTTGGGACCCTTTGGACATCTAGATCAGGTCTGATTTAGCCAAATCCAATGTCCAGACTGGACACTGTGCCATTATACTTTCCTTGCACTCATTAGAATAGGAAAGAGTAATGATTCGTAGTTGTGTTGCTACCACCACTGCTCTTAGACAGCTTAGTGGCTCGCTAGGAGTAGCACCAGTGGCTACATGACTACGATCCATCCCATTTCCCTACGCTAATGAGCATAGGAAAAGTGTAATGGTACCAATATCCTATCTGGAGATGGATCAGGTCAAGTTGGACCCAATCTAGCTGCCCAGCCTATTCCAAAGCAACAAGATACTCTGAGCTTCCAGCAAACTCTATAGCAGGGATCCACAAAGTTTTTAAGCAGAAGGCCAGGTCACAGTCCCTCAAACTGCTGGAGGGCCAGAGAATAATTTGAAAAAAAAAACATGAACGAATTCCTATGCACACTGCACATATCTTATTTGTAGTGCTAAAACACTTTAAAACAATACAATAATTAATATGAAGATCAATTTTAACAAGTATAAATTTATTAGTATTTTAATGGGAAGTGTGGGCCTGTTTTTGGCTGATGAGATAGGGTTGTTATTGTTGTGTACTTTCAAGTCATTTCAGACTTAGGTTGACCCTGAGCGAGGGCCGGGTAAATGACCTTGGAGGACCATATCCGGCTCCCGGGCCTTAGTTTGAGGACCCCTGCTCTAGACTATCTCCTAACTTTGTTGTTTAGGAATGGTGGCAGCAGTGACACAGAGGAGGTGTGATGCAGGCTGCCCAATTGAACAGATATCCTCCCTGGCTATTAGAACAATGGCTCAGTTTGAGAGAGAAAATTAGAAGCTTTTTTTGTTGTTATGGAGTGAGGCACAATGTTGCTCCACTGCTCTCTAGTGGCCAACACAAAATCTTAACCTTCCTCAGCTAGACTGGATCATTCTAACAACAAAATCAAACAAGAATAGTAATAGTACACAAGGAAGAGGGGAAAACCACCACAAATGTTTAGGGATTTAACAGGCTGAGGCCAACAAATAAAGAGAGGATATATCAATGCAGGGTTGCATGACCAGTGCAACCCTGCATTGTTATATCATCTCTTTATTTGGTCTATCCTCTCTTCAATGGCTTCTGTCCCTCCAGAGAAACAGAGGACATGATCTTCACTGCACAACACTGCCAAAAAAAAAAAAAATGCAGGGAACAAAATCAACCTCTGTACATGGCATTCATTGACCTTGTAAAGGCTTTCGACACAGTGAATCACAGTGCTCTCTGGGCCATCCTTCAAATGGCAGGTGCCCTGACAAATACGTGAACATCCTCAACAGTCTTGGACAGCAATGGCTTTCAAAGTGACCCATTTAAGTTGGAATCAGGTGTCAAACAGGGATGTGTTATTGCCCCAACCTTATTCTCCATCTTCATCACTGCACCTTGTTATGGGAAGCTTCCTACTGGCGTGAAAATCACCTAATGGACAGATGGCAAGCTATTTAACCTCGACTGACTGAAAGCCAAAACCAAGGTCACAACAACATGTTACTGAACTCCAATACGCTGATGATAATGTAGTCTGTGTCGAACAAGTAATTTCTCCCATTTCTGACATGAAATAAATGTTTGGGTGGGAACAAAATGCGCTCTCTCACAGCAAAAAACAAACAAAAACAAACAAACAAAAAACCTCAAAAAAACAACAACCCAGCACTTAGTTATGCAGTCATTTTTATTCTACTCATTACATTTGCCATAATAAATGTATGGGTATGAGGGGGGAAAGCCTGCTGAAACCTTTTGTCGGAATATGTGTTGCCTATTAATACACGCTCATAATGAGAACTGACTTTATAAGGGGTTGTATTAACTGCCCTTAGACCATAATCTAGGACTAAAATTCTTATAAAGGGGAACAATTTTACAATGTCATCTCTATTAAGTGCAGCACAGGTTCGTGATTTTAAGTCCAACTCTATTTAAGGCAATGGAACATAGTCTGATAAGCATCTGTTCTTGATTATTTTAAACTTGATCAAGTTCTCCAGTCAGTGAAATAAATAGATTTGTTCTAAATTTTGTGCACAGACCTCTGGTCTGTATATGCTGCACAGTATGGCAGTCATTTTTTGGACTACTGCTCCCCAAATACTCCAGGCAGCATGGCCACTGGAAGGGAATTCAGGAAGCCATGGAAAAGACCACTTTCCATATATTGCGTAAAGCTAAGTATCACTATTTTCATACATTAAACATATTTACATGTCTACAAGATCAATACCCTTTCAGTACTGGTGGCCCTGTAACAGGCCAAGATGTGCTAATAATCCCAGGTAGATATTAGGCATATTGGTTAGGTGTGCCTAAATCTCTTGCAACTCTATGTCTACTAAGTGCATCCCACTCAATCCAATGAGTGTCTTGAAATGATAGAATGTTTATTTTCATTGCCATTTTTACTGCCAGGGATTAGGACAGGTGTTTATGTTTACTGTGTGTGTTTGTGTGTGTGTGTGTGTGTGTGTGTGTGTGTGTATTCTTCTTTTACTATGCACCTTGACTTGGGTACCATCTGCACAACTGCCTAAAGCAGCAAATTTCTTGAGTCAACTAGTTTATAATGGCAACCTTCCCCTATTCTGCCACCATATTGTCTTTTCTCTTTCCATTGAAAAATTCACTGAAAAACCAAAGATAGAATAGCTGCACAGAGGCCTTTGTTTGGTAAAACTAGATACTATGCAAAGAATCATAGGATCATAGAGTTGGAAGAGACCTTGTGGGCCATCCAGTCCAACCACCTGCGAAGAAGCAGGAAAATTGCTTTCAAAGCACCCCCGACAGATGGCCATCGCGCCTCTGTTTAAAAGCAGCCAAAGAAGGAGACTCCACCACAGACATTTTCTCCCAATCATCTCCAGATTCCATTAGGAATTCCCTAATGAGACAATGTGTTGATCACAATACATTTTATCACTTTTCTTGAAGCAAAAGAAAAAAGAAAAAAAAAGCACACAGCAAAATGATATTGCAATTCATTGATTTGGGTGCTGGGTTCAACAAACTTAATCAGAGGGGAACTTTTGCCCTGGAGAAGAAGCAAAGATTATCGTAACTAGTTAAAGAAGAGGCATTCCTGCTTACAATTAGACAGTTCAGATAGTTTGCTAGTAAGGCCAAAGGCCCATCTAGTCCAGCACTAGCTAGCATTCAGTTAGTGATTCACATAAGGGTCGCCTATAGATGGATTTGATGGGGCACAGAAGGTCCTGCTCCTCCTTATGACCAAAGACAAGGGGAGAGAGCGGGAAGGCAATTCAGACCATGAAAATCAGGCCTCTCTAAGTTCCTGAGAGAAGGAAGAAGCAGGTGCATTTCATTTGAGTGTGCATCATCTTCCGGCTTGCCACAAGTGAGCCACAAGGTCCCCAAAGCTGCTAAGTAGTGTGAAGATGAACATGAAGAGTTATGCACACATGTAGGAATTTGGTTATTATGTTCACCTGTAACTGGCCAGAAACTTTTCCCCAACATCCCTTACCCTGCCCCACCACCAATGGGCCAGTACCCATTAGAAGGATCCTATGGAGGTAGAACAAGAGGTCTGTGCTCTCTATGAAGATTCAGTGGGAGCTGACAGACAAGTGTTTTATTATGTAGTTATCCAGTCTTCTACTTGGAATTTTAGAGGGAGTCCAGAGCCAAACTTGTTAACATTCCCTATTTTCTCTCACTGCTCCTGCTGTTGGTTTTTAAAAATTATTACTTTCACCAAAAAGGGGGAAGAGCTGGTTAAAGAGGAAATTGTTGTTGGCTGAATCTGTTTTAATTGGGAGCATAAAGAGTTCTGCGCTGCACTGAGCTGCCCCATATTCACTCACTCCTTTCTGCACAGGGGCACACACAAGATAGTCTATGGTTTAAAATCTTTTTGATCCATTGTGGCAAAGGCTTGAAACATAAGGATGATCCTGAATTGGTTGCCTGTGGAATTTTATAAGTAAAATATTGGATTGCACTGGAACACTCAAGGTATCCTAATAAAAGTCCTGTTTTATGAGCTACTATCTTGGGTTGCCTGGGTTATTTGAAAAAGTCATTTTTAATTGTACAAAATACATAAGGTTGTGGGTGAACTACAACACACATTATACCAGGTTAACCCCCAGACACTCCATCAGTACTTAGTTTGTCATGTTGGGCAAGTTTCTCTCTAGAAGCATCATTGGTTGGGTCTGTGTGGTCTCTGACTGTAGGGTGAACTACAGCTCCCACCATAGTTAGTCGGTTCCCCCCAAACTCCTCCAGTATGTTCAGTTGGTCATGGTGGTCCCGTATGCTAAGTTTGGTCCCGGTCTATTATTAGTAGAGGTCACAGTGTCTCTGGATGTAGGTGAACTACAACTCCCATAAATAAAGGTCAGTTCCCCTCAAAGGCCTCCTGCATATTCAGTTGGTCATGGTGGTTCTGTGTGCCTGCCAAGTATGATCCAGGTCCATCATTTGTGGGGTTAGGTCTCCCTGTATGTGAACTACAACTCCCAGAAATCAAGGTCAATATCTCCCAAACCTTTCCAGTATTCAGATTTGGGCATATTGGGTATCTGTGCCAAGTTTGGTCCAGGTCCATTGTCGGTGGGGTCCAGAGTGCTCTTTGATTACAGGTGAACTATAAATCCCAGTCCCTACAACTCCCAAATGTCAAGTCCAATTCCCCCCAAATCCCTCCTGTATGTTCTGTTGGTCATGGGGGTTCTGTGTGCCAAATGTGGTCCAGATCAATTATCGGTGGGGGTCTTGATGCACAACTTCCCCAACCACATACACACTTTCACTTTTAATATGTGTATAGATGTCAGAGTTACCAAACAAGTGAAAATGGTCCACAAATGGAAAGACGTATACACGGAAATTTCAGAGATGTCATTTATTCATGTTAGAAACAATACAATGGTTTTGTGTTATCATGATCATTCCTCAATTTCTCCACCAGCCCCTTATAATTATTATTATAAAAAGCAGTTTTTATAAACAGACTCCAAAAAAACGGGCAGGGAGGGAGGATTGATTTTTGCCATGTGTATCTGATTTTTGCCATGTGTATTTTAAAACAAGGAGTTTTAAAATAATAAAAATGTAACATGCAAGGGGGGGTGTACATAATAATGTATTTTTGCTCTGTATCCACAAAAGTAGACAGAGACTCATTATCTTAGGTATATGGCAGAAGTAGAAATGATGTGTCATTCCAGATGTTCCAACCTGACCTTACTAAGAGCTATTGCTAGATGCGCTCTGACAAAGTGAGCAGCACAGGTCTGGAAAGGGAAACCTAGGTGGCAGATCTCCACAGGTAGAACTAACTGCTCTAGAACATGGCCATATAGCCCCAAAAAACCTACAACAACCCAGAACTAATTGCTTCTTTTCAACTGTTCTGTGGAGCTCGGGAGCTCAATGAGGTCGGACGTGTGTGAGAGAGAAGGAACAGACAAGATGGCTACTAATTTCTCGACTTGGTACAAAAAAGATCTGCTCAAGAGAGAACTTGCCCATCGGAAATCTCTTCTTCAGAAGGAGAGCAGACACAAGGAGTTTAACAGGGACCGGCAGTTTGGACTGATAGATGTGAATACACAGGCATCAAGGGAGAACAACTTTTCTCAACTGGAGGAGATGAAGGAAAATCACTCTCCCAAGGGAAAGGCTAAGCCAAATGAAACTTCAAAAACAACAGCTAAGATGCAGCAGCGTATGCATCTTAGCTTGAAATACTCCAGCGTTACAAAGTTGAAAAAGAACTGCGTAAATTAAAGGAGCAGCGAGAGAAACCTGTTTTTAAATGTGGGCGATTCAAGCCAGAAGCCCCAGGCTTCCTTTCAAAAGCATCACAGATCCCAGTCCTGAGCAAGCCAAAGGAGACGATGGTGAAAACGGCAACTGTGGAGGCACCTCCCATGCGGGTAGCAAGATCGAAGACGAAGAACCAGGCGCAAAATCCAGTTAGACCACAGCTTTCTTTGAAGGCCCCCAGTAAAGAAGCCGATCTATGTAGACAAACTTGCCAGAAGAAAGAAAAAAAAGCCAGAATTGGAGGACAGCCTTTTCTTCACTCCTCTCAGGAACAAAACAGAGTAATTAATGGCAGTCGCTGCGTGCAATGACCTGATGTCATTCTCTCCCCTAACAGTCCCAGAAGAGGGAAAATGAGGAGTTTGCTAGAGATGGACTACAACTTTGAGAACAACTGTACCTGGGCACTGACTTAATATTTTGTGTTTTCTCTGTTTTTATTATATAACTTCTACTTAGATTATTTGGATTTTAAAGTAATTGTCTCATAGAGGTTTTGGACCAATGGCATGTGACAAAGAACTGTTCTGTGAGCAGTGCAATGCAAGAGATCTTGTAGATTACCTGGTAGATTGGTAAGCAGTCAACAAAATACTGGGCAAGGGCTCTGTCAGTGTTCTGCACACATATACTAAATTGCCCAACTCCAGATGCGTTGAACTACAACTCTCAATACCACAATAGCATTGTACTGTCTAAGAAGCATGTGATAGGAACTGTAATCCATCACATCCGCTGGAACCAAGTTGGTGAAGACAGTTACACTATCCAGTATGTTCCCATTTCTTTGATCACTGATATGTTCAATTCCAGGAAAGCAGCTAGAGAAAGTTCATATGAGCAAATTCATGTTGCTTCCTTTGTGATATATTCATTTCAGGATAAGAGCAAGGCAAGTTCACAAATAGGCTGAATCTTCCAAGTGGCTTGAATGATGAGAGGGATGAACATGTAAAACCCATGAAAGCAAGACTACATCATTTGTTTGCATTTTCCTTTCTGCAGTTCCCCTGAAGCACCCAAACGAGAGCAGGAGAAGCCTTCAAGGAAGCACCTCATCTGCTAGAGGCACCATTTGGTTCAAACAGGTCTTGCTTTCTCTCTTGAGATGGCTCCCATGCAGAAATATCCTCACTTGTCTCTCACCTGAACACAACTCCTGCCCTTGCTTTTCATTCATCTTTTAAAAAATGTGCTTTTCCAGCATAGTAATAAAAATTGACTTTTAAAAACAACCACCTAGGTGTTCTTCATTATGATCCAAAGCTACAGTGTTAAGAAGAAGCTTGATTTATCAGCCACTCACATACCATTGTGGAATTCTTCATCTCATCATGAGGTATTGATGCAACCAGCACACTTTCAGTATGATGCAAAAGCAACTTGACTGTAACATGAAAGAGGCAGGCCAGGTATCTAAAGGCCACATCAGGGGTGCTATCCTGTACATACTCGTTGTTGTGTGCCTTCAAGTCATTTCCAACCTATGGCAACCCTGAAGGCGAACCTATCACAAGGTTCTCTTGTTCAGAAGAGGTCTGCCATAGGAAGCAAATCCCACTGAACCCAGCCAAGTTAGATGCGGCTCAATTCTCAGAAAACACAGACAGGATTGTTCTGCATGGGTCTCACTCTCAGTCAAATGTTACCATCCGCTGTTAAAGGATCTAGCTGTTAAATCACAGAAGAGAGACGCACACTTATTTTACAGTGTTTCCTGACAGATATATGGCACTAGAAATAGAAGCTATAGAATATTTGTATCCATTGGAAATTGTCCTGATGCACAACAAGGCTCTTTGAAAGAGAAAACTCATCCCTTTTAAATATATAACTGATGAGCTGCCAAGGTGTCCATAAAAGGTTGTACGAGGTTGTCTGTCGAGAAGTAGAAGATCAAGCCAAATGTGATGGAGATAGGAAGGGCGGGCAATGCTTTCTTGAATACTGCCAGCAACAGAAGGGTTAAACAAAGGCCCTAAAAGGAAAGGGGAAAAACATGACTCAGCAGAGGCCAGGACACTCTTCCATATGGACAAAAGGCCATGTATAAATATTTAACTGATAAAGCATTTTGTAGGTCTTAAAAGTTAAAGATCAAAATGCATTACAGAGTTAGGCATGCTCAAATCCATTAGGCCTAGCTAATTTACTATGGTCTAAGCTTTTATGAACCCTATAGTAGTTTATAAGGGACTAAGGTAGTTGCTACTTTACTGCTTGCACTACGTGCAAAATTCCAGGTTCGATGCATATACAATTTAAGCTCCAATCCTCACATGTGTTGACCGTCATATACAAGGTCTACTCTGCAAATAATAAAGCAGTGAAGACAAAAAAGAGAGAGAGAGAAATCACCTTGGCCTCACATTCCAGATCTTGGCTATTGACTTGTTTTTATGCAGCACAGCACCCTGTGGCATCTTAAATAACCAAAAAAAAAAAAAAAAAGATTGGAATCCCCGGTGTCACAATGGGTTGCCGGCAGGACTGCTGACTGACAAGTTGTCGATTCGAATCCGGGGAGTGGGGTGACCACAGGATGGCAAAACATCAAATATCCAGGTGTTCCCCTGGGCAACGTCCTTGCAGACAGCCAATTCTCTAACATCAGAAACAACTTGCAGTTTCCCAAATCACTCCTGACACCAAAAAAATTAAAAAATATACTGGTGTCTTGATTTTTAGGCCTGTTCCTGGGGATATTTGGAGTGCTGATTCAGAAAATTACACTGGATTTTTTTTTGTCATGTCAGGAGCGACTTGAGAAACTGCAAGTCGCTTCTGGTGTGAGAGAATTGGCCGTCTGCAATGACATTGCCCAGGGGACGCCTGGATGAATTGATGTTTTTTTTTTATCATCCTTGTGGGAGGCTTCTCTCATGTCCCTGCATGAGGAGCTGGAGCTGATAGAAGGAACTCATCCGCCTGCAACCTGTCGGTCTTCAGTCCTGTCGACACAGGGGTTTAACCCATTGCGCCACCGGGGGCTCATTACACTCGATAGACTGTATCAGCTCTAGTTTCTTAGATATGGTTATCATGATTTTTTACGGGTGAATAGATAGAATATGTTTTGAATCTCAAAAACTACAGCTGATAGAGGACATCAAAACTGGAGACATTTTCAAAATCGGCACGTCAAATATACCCAGAAAAAGGTCTAACATCTGAGGCACCAAAATGTGTTGGGCAGTGTAATAGGATTTGCAATGGCATAGACTGAACATGGGATAAAATTTGCTCAATGTCATCATGCATTTCCTGGAAGAATCCTTCTACTACTAACTTATGAAGGAGAACAAAGAAAACTAAACTAGTCCTAGAGTAGGACGCTATGTCCAAATCACAGAAAACAGGACTGCAGGAAGATATTAGCCCTCATAAATCTTGACAGGGCCAAACTGTGATGCTAACATAGAAAGACTTAGTAAAGCGCCTTTGTATTAATCTATTAGGCATCTGCTTGCTCTTACATACCCCTGCGTCTACATGCATTTTCTGGCCTTCATCCCAATTTTGACAGATTATCTTAGCCTCTGATCATATCTGACTCTGGGTGGAATTTTCCAACAGTCAGGCTAGACATGGCTATAAATGGATCACAGAGCTTGGAAATAACCCACAAGTACAATGTTATCCATAATACATAATTTCCTGGGGCACCTAGGGCATAACAAAGTCCCTTTTGAAAAACAGCACAATGAGCAACACCATTAAATTTAGCACAATGAGTAACATTTACTCATGATTTCCAAGATGATTTTGGGAGGACTCATTTTGTGGAGATCCTTAATTCAAAGAAAAGTAAGCACACTTCTTAAAAAAATCCAGCAACATTTACTTAATAGTTGCTAATATACAAAAATGGATATGGCTAGAAAATATGTACAAAACAGGTATGAATTTCAGTGTGTGGGGCCTCATTGCACAGAATAATCTCTGAGGTGGAAACATGGGAATCTTTGCACATCCCTACTCCTTGTCATTCTGAAACCTGTGTTTCATTTCTGCTCAGATATTACAGCTACAGTGTTATCTTGCCCTTAAGGACAGCTATCCTGCCATCCTGTCTTTACTGACTTTGAAAATATAATCATATCAATACATAACATGTTGGTTTCACTTACTATGAGGATGGCTACAAAACAAGCCAAAGTTGTATTCCAATCTCCACTAGCGGTTGCGGCTGCTTTGCCCACAAGCACACTGTAGAAGATGAAATCTCCAAGTCCCAACTTCACACCTCCTATTCGAAAAGATAGAAAAGTCCATCAACTTTCCAGACTAGTGGACAGAATATACAGTAGATGCATTCTTTAAATAGGCAGAAATATCACAAGGCAGGTAGTTTTTGTTCTGACCCCAGATCTTTCAGGACATTACATCCTTAATCTCATGAAAGTTAGTTACCCATTTGTGATTCACACCAATTGCTTATGAACCTTCCTGTTGAATCCATGGATGGAGAATCCGTGGATACAGAGGGCCATATATATATATAAAAAACACATAGTGGGTGGTGCTCTTTATTTTTATGCAATTTGGGTCCCTAGATGACATTGAATGACAACTCCCATGACTTGTAATTATCTGCCATGTAAACTGGGCATAATGTGGATTGCAACCCAACAGCACTTCTGCCTGTGAGGATGGGGAAAGGTTAAAGGATATTTTAAAGTCAGACATCATATCCACAAGTCTATCCTTACGAAACAGAACAAATAGCAGCCTTTCAGATGTTAAGTGTATAACAACAACAACTTTCTTTTTGTATCCCTTCACCATCTCGCCAAAGGGACTTGGCAAGGCTTACATAGGGACCAAGCCCGGCATAAACAAAATTTACAACCAAACTAAAAAATTAAAACAATTAAAACCAGAAAAGTATAAAAACATATCAAAACCAACGTCAGCCACCATTAACAGAGTATTGTGGGCATGATCACATTAGAGAGGGCAGGGCAAGGACTTGTGAGCAGATAGGGCCAGGGCTGGGAGTAAAGTGCTGGATAAACCTTATCAGTAAATTAGGGCTGGATAGTCATGATCAGGGACTAAGTGTATCACAACTTCCATCAGCTCATGTCATGATGTCTAATAATAAGGAATATAGGAGTTGTAATCTAGGAACTGGAGGGCCACATAAAATGACATAAAACTAGAAGAAATCTACAAAGTCAATGGGAAACTGATAAATCAATACTTTGATAACGCTAACCAAGATGGTGAGTGGGTTTTTGAAAGTTTTTTGGACTATATGGCCATGTTCCAGAAGCATTCTCTCCTGATGTTTTGCCTGCATTTATGGCAGGCATCCTCAGAGGTAGTGAGATGGTGAGTTTCTCTTGGGTATTGGCAATACAAAGAAGAGTTTTAAAAGGCTCCTCTTGTAAGTCATCTGCCTCATTTCATTTGGCGGGTGAGCACTTTGGGATGACAACATTAGGATCTAGTTAGATACCTAATGGGAGGAGGTGCTCCTTGATATAGCCTGAACCCAAGACACCATTTATTGCTTTAGAATCTGAAACCAGAATTTTGGCTTAAGTTTGGGCTTCTAGCTGACTTAAATTGCAATTTTGGGAGAAAAGAAGGACACAGCTTGAAGGAGTATTAGCAATCACATTTATATCCCATTTCTCCTCCAATGAATTCAAGGTATCAAAAATGTCTCTCTTCCACCCTATCCTCACAACTTCTGAATTATTATTGTGTATCAATGTATAAATACTATTTGTGAAAAGATAACAGTTTCAACTTACTTTCTTCTTCCTCCATTTCTTCTAGGTTGTGTCCCATTTGACCAAGTTGTCGATCAGATCGTTCAACTCGTTGGCCAGCCTGACCATCTGTTAAGTGCCTCCTCTCAGCAACTTCAGGATCAGTGTATGAGGAATTCTGATGGTTTTCAGCCCCTTCAGCTGATTTACCAAAGTATGAAAAAAGAGGACAACACACAAAATAATTTAATATTGTGCATTCTCAGTTTCATGGTGAAAGACAGTATTTCTGAAATTAAAAAGATTAAAAGCTGTGTTGTCAAAGGCTTTCCTGACTGGAATCACTGGGTTGCTTTGAGGTTTCCAGGATGTATGACCATATTCCAGAAGCATTCTCTCCTGACGTTTTGCCCACATCTATGGCAGGAATCCTCAGAGGTTGTGAGGTCTGTTACCTGCTATGATAACTCTCCATAATTGCCTAGTCCTGCCCCATCCTGGTTCAGTCTCACACTTTTGGGACTGTCACACTTTTCTGTCTAGGACAGTGGTTCCCAACCTTTATTCATCCAGGTGCTTTGGACTTCAGCTCCCACAATTCCTGGGATTTCTGGGAGTCCAAAACACCTGGAAGATCAAAGGTTGGGAACCACTGGTCTAGGATGTTTCTCTGGTTTTTTTAGGGAATCTATTCTAGAGAGTGGATACAGCCCAAAGCAGGATTTCATCTAAAGGTCTCAGTGCTTAGAGAGAAGGATTTTTTGGGAGGGGGTGGGGGGGGGGGAAGAGAGAAAGAACAAATACTGCATTGACTAAATCAACCTATTCCCAGGAAGATCTGTTATAGAGAGAATGGAACAGGCTTCATCTTCAGAGCACATACATATATTGCTTAGTGAAATAGATTTTTTCAGTATCAAATGAATAGGTCACCTAGATCCCATGTTTCTTCAGAAGATCCTCTCCGTACGCCGTCTGGTTTTGCCATTCCTACAGTCCATATCATAGCAGCTATGTGGGGTAGAGTAAAATACATTATTTAGGAAAGAAAAGCTGCTGAGACTATTAGAATAGCTCAGAAATCATAATCAAAACAGTTAAGACTATTAGCATACATATATTTTTATTCTTTATTACATATACATACATATATCTTTATTCTAATGCTGACTTGTTAGTATATACAGTAATATAGTGTTATTTTAAATAGAAACACAAAAGACAGGATATTTTCCCAGTCTTATACAATAGACTTTGAGTTAGTCAGCTACCGTGGAGACTGATAGATGCCAGATAAATGCAGTTTCTAGTTGTTTGGTCATTACTATTAAAAAATAGACCTAAATAACACTATATGCCATATTGTACCATACCATAAACTCTTTATTGACTTGTTATTAATATAGCAATGAAAAGCAAATAAACTTGTAACCATTCACTAAAAATTATTTTCATTTTTTATTTCAAGTATTAATTCTTTGATTTTTTATTTTGATTTTTTTGCCATTTGCTTTCAAGTTCTGGTCGCTTACATCCTGATTAACTGAGAATCTACTATAAATGGGATTTAGGTTTCTTCCTTCTTTAAACCGCTATGACAACAACTTATTTGAATGCAGTATATTATGTTTGCACATAACTCTTTTTGAAAAGAGAAGTCATGCTGCTTCCCTGGGAGAGCCAGATCAGATAGAATACCTCTTATCTGATGAACATGTCAGTTGGAAAGTCAAGGCACAGAGCAGCCTTAGGGGAAATAGCAATGTCAAACTAAAAAGGTATCTGTCTTAGGTTCTGAATGTTGAAAACTGGCCTTATTTAATCATTTTTCAAGTCGCTCACTATCCTTCTGAGGTTCTTCAAATGAAAACTAGCTGACGTAGACCAGATGGCAGTGCAGAAACTGAACCAGTTCATCGTGGTTAATTGCACAGGTCTGCTTATCTTCTGAGACACACAAGTCAGCTTCTATTCTAATACGATAGTCTGCACTTAAAATGTTAATAACTGTCTGGTAACTTTTTCCTTGTGGCATCTTCTTAGGCAGCAAGGATGAGCTGTTGGACAATGTAGGGTTTTTCTTCTGCACCTAACCCGTTTTTTGTTTGTTTGTTTATGTATTGGAAGACTTGCTAGACAAGTGAGGAACAATGCGTTGGGATTATGATTATATCTGAAAGGTCCTTGGACTTCCAAAGGTATTTACACCGCTTTCAAGCCTAACTTGGCAGCATTTTTTGACTGGATGGCTACTACATTCTGTACCTATAGAATACACAGTAAAAAATCTTTCTTCCAGAAAAACACATTCCCCCATGATCTAATTCTGATTTAATAATAGTTCTTATACTGTTGGGGTATGCTGCCGTGTCCCTCCATTCTCAAATGGCCCAAAAACCTCCAGGGTCTCTTTATTCCAGTGACTCTCAACTTGTGCTCCATGGACCACCAGCGGTCCCCAAGAACTAAAATATGGTCTGCGGCCTCACTGTTACTACTCTGGTGCAACGAGAGCGACTGGTCTTGTGAAACCCTCTTATAGTGCCAAGGCAATTGGGATGTTGGGAGGTAAGGGGCTGACTACCCACGAAAAGTGTGAGAACAAGCCTCCAGACTGCTGCTTCTCCTCATCCTCCCTCCCCCTGAGTGGAGATGTTCCATGTGGTGCCTGGAAGTGGGGGCGCCTTGGTGTCTGGATCAGTACTCCAAATAACCAAATCAAATCTAAAGTTAACCAAAAACCGATTCGTAACCATTTTGGTACTAATGTTGGAGAGTGGTAAAAAAAAAGGTTGGGAACCACTGCTTTATCCAACCAAACACTGGAAGCAAGGAGATCATTCAACAGGTTTTTATTTGATCAAACCACTCTGCTGTGTGAACAAAAAGGAAAAAGTGCCACACAAGAATGAGAGGTAGCTCTATTTGGCACCAGCTTTTATCAGTGTTTCTACACCTGCTTTTCCTCAGTAGCCGATTCCCCCTCCTTCATCTCCCCCCTCCTGTGCCTGCTTGTTACTAGGCATTTCCCTTTTGAACTGTCCCCTTATCTGAACTCTATGCTTTGGCTAGTAATTTTCCACTACTACCTTAGCCCTAGTCCCTTCAATACCCCCCCCCCACCCCCCAAAATACAGAGTCTCTTATTTTACTCACAGGAATAAATAAGTGCAGGGAATATGGGTTCGTTTCTCTCTTGTGCTGTCTCCACCAACATTCGGAGTGGTCCCTTGGGGCATAAAACTGCTACCAGATCTGTAAAGAGACATGAAGATATCGTGAGAGTATAAACTTATAATACTGAGAGTATAATTTTATACTTTTAATCATTTTTAACAAGATGACACAAAGCAAGCACCTATTCTAACCCTCCCCGTTTGATTAACTATGATGGACTGATGCCAGATGAAACAAAAAAGGTGGTCTGTTTCGAACAAAATTTAGATAACTTACTTTGCATTAGGTAGTTTTTTTAGGCATGAGAAACTATCATTAACTTAAAAAACTGAAGAACTTTCTAATCTTTTATGGACACTTGAAACAGAGGACAAATTATGATTAATCGTTATTGTCTGAACACAACCACGGCAGAAGAAAATGGCACCATGAAGTAGAAAGCAAAAGGTAATTATTTCCATACGTAGTGCAAATTCTTTATAAAAAGGGAATCAGCATACTGTGTGGAATAATACTGGTGCCAAGACCCTTCTAGGCTAGCTTATATGCACCATCTTTTCCTTAAAGAGCTGTAATGAGAAAAAAGAAAGCTCTAAAATTTTATCCCACTGAGGACATACCATAAATGGAAATGCCTCCCAGAATGACCCAGGCTGACCACTCAGGCAGGTATTTGATAAAAACCAAAGCCATCAAGGCACTGATCATGATGAGATAAGCTTGCTGGAGTTGCAGGGGTCCCTTCCAATGGATGCATATCATCCCAACAGCTCCAAAATTCCAAATGACAAAGAACAGGGTTGGGTAATCCATTGCCACATTGTAGGTCTTTAGCACTTCACTGCAGAAAAAAACACAAATCCCAAAAGGTGGTTAGTCAGAAACAGACACTAAAGAGCTGCAATCAGAAGTCAAAATGTTCACAAACCTCTGGTAAGAGGTAGAGAGGATTTGGGGGCTGGAGAAAGGCATGGGGTCTTAATTCATTGCAGAAGTACATTTCACATCAGCTGCTTTATTTTGAGGGAGAGCAGAATGAACAGTTGCACTGCTTTAGATTATCCTTCTGATCTAGGCCCTATTTAGGTACCTCTGAAGATGCCAGTCACAGATGCAGGCAAAATGTAAGGAGAAAATGCTGCTGGAACATGGCCATATAGCCTGGAAATGACACAGCACCCCATATCAAAATAGTATTTTACAAATGTTTTAAACCCCCCCAAACACAGTTAAAACAGTCCAAGAGCTCTTTTTTTTGGGGGGGGGGGTGTCAAAAGCCATACAAAATAATGCATTTTAGCTGTTACTTAATTTCATTAAAATAACTTGAGGTTAGTAACCTTTGGCAGTCTACTCTAAACTGGTTGGCAGAATTGTTCGAGAGTTTGAATCAATAATTTTCACGTACACTTACCCTAGATAGATGTAGGTGAAGAGGAACAGAAGCATCAGAGATGAGAGAATGAGCCAACCATGAATGAACTGCAAATGAAAGACAATACACTGAGAAAGAAAGCGCTGCTCATTTAGATATTTATTTATTTACTGTACTTATATCCCGCCTTTCTCAACCTCGAAGGGGACTCAGGACGGCCTTACAAAGGCAAGAATTCAATGCTGTGTGTACACATATCATCGATAAATAACCAAAAACATTTAAACAAACCAGTTAAACCATCATTTGAAATCACTAATCCAGGACATAATTCAGGGCCAGTCCAAGTCGTCAATGTTAATTTATAATCTCTTATTGCACTGCTCTCATTACTAACCAAAGGCCTGATTCCAAAGTAATGTTTTTAGTTTTTTCCTGAAGGCCATGAGGGAGGGAGGTGATCTAATTTCACTGGGGAGGGAGTTCCATAGACGAGGGGCCACCACTGAGAAGCCCATGTCTCTTGTCCCCACCAGTCACGCTTGTGAGGGGGGTGAGACTGGGAGCAAGGCCCCCAAATGATCTTAGCCTCCGAGATGGATCACAAAGGGAGCTATGTTCAGATAGTACAATACAGATTATGAGTTTTGACTGCATCTTTTTCCCAGTCCTCTCTTCAGTCAGCTTCTTACTTGGGAAGATAAAATAACAAGACTACTTTTCAGGCTTGAGAAGTCTGCTGCTTCCCTCTCAATGCTTTAGTTCTTTCTCCTTCTACTACCAGAGGATCTCATTATTATTTGGCTTTAAATCTGTTGTACTGATTGTGGGAACTGTGGCTCCCACCACCTGTGATCAGCATAACAATCCAACAACATCTGAAAAGAATCCCATCTCCACCACCCCAGCTCTACACAGAAGCGTCTTGTCTAACTACAATTCTATTTTACCATGCTCAAATACCTATCCTTTACTGAATTTTACTAGAAAAACCTCCCTAGTAAGCTATGGAAAACAAATTAAAAAAACTGGGCAAGCAACACTCATGACTCCCCATTCACTTATTTGTGAAATTAAAATCCAATTCAATGCCAGGACTCTTCGGAGTCAGCCCACTGCCCCACTACTTCGCCCCTGCACCTACAGAAACCAGAGAATATGAGATTAACAGGAAGTCATTGGTTCTTATATGTTGTAATAGTTTTGTATGGATTTTATTATGTTGTTTTAAATGTTTTAACTGTATATTGTGGATTGTTATGGCATCAAATTGCTGCCAACCTGTAAGCCACCTTGAGTGGCCTCGGGCTGAGAAAGGCGGGATAGAAATATTGTAAATAAATAAACAAATAAATAAAATCCCCAATAGTGAGCAGACATATTTCATGATATGGACAAAGTATAACAGTCTCAGTTTAGTCATCTTGGCTTCTAGAGTGAGTTTGAGCCTGATCTGTTCTATAATCCATTCATTTGTTTTTAGTAGTCCATGGTACCCACAGAACTCTTCTCCAGCACGTCTCGAATGAGTTTATTTTCTTCTCATCAGCTTTTTTCACTGTTTAAGTTTCACAATCACACATTGGAACTGGGAATATGACGACATAGATTAACTTCAAGTTCTCACTTCAAGATCCTAATTTCAGTCTCAAGAACAGACTTCCATAATTTGTAGTCCAATATATCAGTAGAGTCTCAAGTCAGGGAAAAGAGACTTTCACGCCATTTACCAAGTTACGATTTTTTTCCCCCTTCAAGACAAAAACTTAAATTACTGGAAGAGGAACTGGGGGCTGCCCAATCATCACCACATCATGTCAGAGGCACCTTAAGTTTCTAATTCATAACTACAACCATAAAACAACTAAATGTTAGAGCCATACAATTACATAAGACTCTGGAAAGCATATTTTAACTCAGTGTCTGACTAAACACCCACAAAATAGTATTACGATAGACCTTTGGAAATTGCAGAAAGAATTTTGGGTGATAAACGCATCATTTTAAGAGCTGAGTGAAAACTGCAAAGACTTACTGGAACCAACACAAGCATGCCATTCCTATCTGAGCTGAAATCCAAAACTAGAGCTATGGCATCAATCCATGACCACAAAGAGGAATTTTGTAATGTCAGTTGGGTCGGTTTTGTGGCTATAGGATTTCTTGAAACATATCTGAGCCACTTAGAAGAGATGAACTAGCTAGCTGAAGCAGTATCATAAGCACTACTTACCTCAGTGGTTCTCAACCTGGGGTCCCCAGATGTTTTTGGCCTTCAACTCCCAGAAATCCTAACAGCTGGGAAAATGGCTGGGATTTCTGGAAGTTGTAGGCCAAAACACCTGGGGACCCACAGGTTGAGAACCACTGACTTATCTGACCACAGGTAAATAAGAAAAATTGTGAAGACCCATTCTGAGGACTACTGAGATATTTTGTTTGTCTTCAAAAAATGTTGAGAATAAACACAATGAAATGCAGTTATGACTAAGTAATGTTATCAATCAACATATTATTAGAGAGTTCTTGTCAGTCTATTCACCATCCTTACCTTGTAGCAGCGGTATTTATATAACACAACCAAGAAGATTGTCATTACTAGTATGACACTGATCATGATGAGGGTATTCAGCACAGAGCTCAAGAGACGCTGGCCCACGTAAGGTGTGTCCTCACTAAATGGGGTATAAATTCTGCAAGAAAACCACAACAACTCTGTATAAATTCAGGCTACACAAGCCCACTAACCATCAAAAAAATTTGGACTTGACCCCACACCAAATAAAAGGTAATAATATCCTTCTTCCAGCTATTGAATTAATCCTAGCACTAAGCAGTGTGAGGTGACCTACCTCAAGGGATAGATTCTGCAGAACCACAAAGCACAAGAGATTGACTGTGGAGGAATCCACCCACACAATGTCAGCAGATTCCCTTCTCCCCTGTAGTTCATTATACAAGATGCACCTATCTACTTCTTCAGCTGCTTTGGAAAGATAAGAGAGCCTCCAAAGCAACTGTAGGGGCAATAGAGCAAAAAGTAAAGTTCTATCATGGAAGCTGAAAGTTTACATGTACAACATTGAATATAACTCTTAAGTTTGTAACTACAAGAAACGTAAGACAACTTGGACTTTCTGCTTCCATGGTCAAAATCTGTTGGTCCTGTGGGTCCCAGGTGTTTTGGTCTACAACTCCCAGAAATCGCAGCCAGTTTACCAGCTGTTAGGATTTCTGGGAGTTGAGGACCAAATCATCTGGGGACCCACAGGTTCAGAACTTCTCCACTATATGTTCTCTTTACCCATTTCACTTCTGACACGATAAATAGCTGTTTATTTTTATTTATTTATTTATTTATTTACCCTATTTATACCCCACCTTCCTTTACCCCAAGGGGGACTCAAGGCAGCTTGCATATGGCAATTATTCAATGTCTTAAACACATACAACAATAAGCTTAAAATCCAGTGAATTAAAATTAATATATTAAAAATATAAAAATTACATTCAATATTAAAATCATGCCATCCAAAAATCGTAGTCTGAGACCATTCCATATCATTGCACATATTTCAATTATATTATTGCGCAGCTTCTCTGAAGGCTTGGTCCCAGAGCCAGGTTTTTTCTCTCCTTCTGAAGGCTAGGAGGAAGGGAGCTGATCTAATATCACTAGGGAGGGAGTTCCACAGGCAAGGGGCCACCACTGAGAAGGCCCTATCTCTCGTCCCCACCGGTCGCACTTGTAATGAAGGTGGGACTGAGGGGAGGGTCTCCCCAGAAGATCTTAACCCATGAGATTAATGTTTATTCTATTCATTTTGTAGGTTTTAATTTGTTTATATTTTATTGCTTTTATTGTTAGCCACTTTGGGTCTATTTTTATGAGAAATAGAGTAGGATAACAACAAAAACAATGGGAGAATGCAGGATTACAGTGAGATGAATTTCAGAGATAGAGTGCTGGTCTAGATGAAACCCTAAGCTAAAGACTACAGCTTGTACAATAAAATGAGTTAGGAATAATCAAGAAGGACTTACAACTGCCCGTTCTTCTCAGTATAGAACCGTACTGATTTTATGGTGGCGACTACCACAACCATACATAGCGTAACAGGCACAAACAACATGATCACATGTTTCGCTCCATATTTTAGGGTCAGTTCTTCCTCCACATTGTCCAGGGCAACAGATCCTCTTGCTGCACCATCTGGTTCAGGCACATTTCCATCAGCGGTTTTGTTAGAGCCACTGCTTCCAGTACGTCTTTTCTACAATGAAATCATAAAGTAGGGTTAGCTGTCAGAAGACTTTCAGCAATTCCACTCTTCTTGATTTGCCACTAAATTACCATGCCTACAAAATTTGTTTCACTAACTACAAAACTTGACATTTTGGACTGCAATCATTCTGGAGATCTGGGAGTCGCAGTCCAGCTACTAACTTCCAAAAATTCTGCTAGACTGGCAATGGCCCATCCAAGCTGCATGCATAGCTCTCCATTTGCCAAAAATCAAGACAATTCAGGTGTCTACAAACTGAGAAATAAACAAAAAGGAAAAGGGATATCAGAAGAGAACAGAAGAACTGCTTTGAGTCTTCTTTGGCAGAGAAAAAATGGGGTATAAATATATATGCATATACAAATAATAATAATAATAATAAATGGTAGCCATCCAATTTCTTCACTCAAGCTCACTTTGTCATTAGTAAAAAGACAAAAAAAACCCTAAGTCTTGGATCATCACTAGTTCTCCTGAATAGGAGTCACATCCTTTGAAGCAGAAAGCGAAAAAGGAGCAGTAGGAAAACACATAATCTATTGAACACGAGTAGGGAACCATGGGTTCTGCAGTTTTTGTGGCCTTCCCAGAAGCTCCAACCAGTGTGGCTAATTATAAGTGATTAAGTTATAATAATCCACTGAAGGGTGCAAAGATTCCTCACTTCTGCTAGTGAGTGATCCTAGCATTATAGAATATAGATATTTCTTTTCAGAATCAGGATATACTCACCCTGTGTGTCTGAGTTTCTGTTGCTGCAGGGGTTTGTGAAACATCGTGGTAAGGGGGCAGGAGGGGGCTCTCTGCTGACATCAGGGATGTTCTCTCATTACAGGGTTCCTCTTCGCTGTCAGAGTTGTTCATGAAGGTGATCATACTTCCCTCTTCTCAGAGAACCTTGTGGTGTTCTCTTAGAGACTCACAAACCTTTTAAAAACCTAAAGAAAAGCAAGAGATGACAAAAATATAAGAGCACACCTTGCAATACCAGATTTTCAGTTATCAGAAAGCCTGCAGCCGGAGGTGGCCAGATCTTACAAACTTTGGATTTAGCTCTGCAACTGTATCTTGTGATCAGGTGGGATTCACACTGAGCTGAAGCCATACTATGTAAAAATTAGAATTTGTTATTTTGGAAGCAATATTTTAGATTGTTTGCTTTTGCAAGGTTAATCCATTAAAGCTTGAGTCAAAAGAATATGGTTTGTCTGGGTAAAGCAGTACAAAAGAGACACCAGCCAGGTAGGTAAAAAGTAAAGGTTGCCCCTTGACATTAAGTCTACTAGAGTCCAACTCTAGGGGATGGTGTCATCTCCAGTTCTAAACTGAAGAGCTGACATTGTCCATAGATGCCTCTAAGGTCATGTGGCTGGCATGACCGCATGGAGCACTGTTACCTTCCCAGCAAAGCTATACTCACATTTGCATGTTTTCAAACTGCTAGTTTGGTAGAAACTGGGGCTAACAGCGGGAGCTCACCCTAGATTGAAACTGCCAACTTTCGGTCAGCAAGTTCAGCAGCTCAGCGGTTTAAGCCACTGTGCCACCAGGGCCGCTAATTCCAGTTAGGTAGACAGGAATTAATCTCTCCAGTATATTACTTCTCTGTGATTCTTAAACATGCAACATAGTGATCAAGGAACATAGCAACAGTACCCATACCCATGGTACCTATGTCCAAGGCAAAAATAATCTCTCTAGGAATCTGCTAAGCCTTCCAGGCAATTCTATAGCATGCCCTGGGAGTTATCACAAAGGCACCCTGAAGGACCTAGAGAATTCATGGAGAAGATTCCTCTATAGGCATTTCTAGGTCCTCCAGGGTGGCTCTATGGTACACAGGGTCTAGAAGTCACATAATTTAATGGTGTTCAATGTATGGGTGCGCCATATCTCGATTAAACTTACAAAAACCCACATTTCTAATTATTCTAAATACAATGTTGTAAAAAAGCCTTCTTCAACTCAGTTCCAGCCTTGCGTTGGACTACACCTCCCATCAACCTCCACCCAGCACAGTGAGGTCTTTTGCTTATTACGGAACCAGCAAAAATGTTCAGAGAAGGCTTTGCACAGATGCAATTGCCTCCATTCTCATTTCTGCAAATCCCGTGAACTACAAACAGTGGCTCTACTGCTTCCCCATTATAAAACAAAGGTTACTGTGCATCATCCACCCGCCCCTTGCTTCCCCGTTTGGTTTCCTGAAGGAAGTGTGATGCTGAGCTGATGCACTGAGCTCCACTCAGTACGATAATGAGGTGGGAGAAGACAAAACAACAGGAAGCTACAAAGTACTGTTCTTAACATGTCATCAATATGCTAAAGCATTTTATTAACGCCTTTGGGAACTCATTTACTTCAAAGGTTCCATGTACATCATGTAGCTTCAAAACTCGCTTTAATTCTAATATGCTTTGCTCTCATTTCAATCTTTTGTGGTTACTAATCTGGAATTGACTGATATTTGACATATGCCCTGAGCTCCCACAGAAGTGGAATATAAATATTGAAATAAAGAAATAAATCCGATTCCCCAAATAGATTAGTCCTTTGTTTTCATGGAGTCTGCATCCACGGTATATCAACTATCAATGGCTTGAAAGGGTTTAAAAAATTCAAAACAGCAAATGGTGGTTTTGCCATTTTATATAAGAAGCATCATATTTACTATGCCATTGTATAATGCAGTGGTTCCCAAGCTTCTTTTTTTTTTTTTTGACCAGGGACCACTTCTCCAACATTAGTACCAAAAGGGTTACAAATCAGTTTTTGGTCAACGTTAGATTTGGTTTGGTTATTAGGGGTGCTGATTCAGAAAATAGCATTGGCTAGATCACATCAGATCTAGTTTCTGATACAGAAACTGTCGCCATCTGCTCAGCCACAGAAAATCATATTTAATAAACCTTGGCAGTATAAGAGGATTTCGCAAGACCAGTAGCTCTCGTTGCAGCGGTGTAGTAACGGTGAGGCTGCGGACCATATTTTAATTCTTGCGACCACAGGTTGGGAACCACTGGTATAATGGAACTTGAGCATTCATGGATGTTTGTATCCATTGAATATATGTGTTTGTACAACTAAATACCAATGGATTGTAAACAAAGTGTTTCATAACTTTTTCTCAAACAACTCTGTATAAATTTTGGGACAGAATGCTCACAGAATGGACACACAGAAAGAAATCATTTGTGTTAGAACGGGAAAAGTTCTGGATGTTTCTTGCTACAGATTTTGCTCAATCTAATTTATTTTTTACACGGCCTTTGAGGTTAGAATCCTACTGAGAGTTTGGAGACCTGGATTCTTCTCCAAGCTCTTGGCCTTATCTCGCATTACTATAATCAAGATCAGGTAAGCTGAAATAATTACTTTTGTTTTAATTTATCTATCCGTGGGGAACCTGTGGTTCTCATTCCATTTTCATGTCATCCTCAGAACCATCTGGCTCTTGGGATGCTACAGTCATTTTAGGCTTTCTGGACCATCTTAAGGAATCCGTGAAGGAGCTATGTAATCTTGCAATACTATAAACTCAGTGTATTATTACATCTAGCTCTGGGTTGTTGTAGGGTTTTTGGGCTATATTGTCATGTTCTAGAAGCATTCTCTCCTGATGTTTCACCTGCATCTATGGCAGGCATCCTCAGAGGCTGTGAGGTCTGTTGGAAACCAGGAAAATTAGATGTATATATCTGTGGAATGTCCAGGGTGGGAGAAAGAACATTTAGCTCTATTTAGAAGAGACACACCTCCTTAGATTATGACTTTCAGAGTATTCCAGCTTGCATAAACCTCACTTGGCCTCATGTAAGCCGCCCCGAGTCCCCGTTGGGGGAGATAGTGGCGGGGTATAAATAAAGTTTATTATTACTAAATTATTACAGAGGAATTCCGGACGCTAGAATGAAAAAAAAACTTCTCTGACAGATTTCTGTAGAATAAAGGACATGGAAGGAAAGATGTTCCCAAATGCCATCAAAGTGCAAATGAACAGAAAAGATACATATTCCAGGTCTATGTGGCTTTAAAAAAAATAATGAGTAAGTATACCAAGAACCACTGAGCAGAGTTGTTTGAGCACTGGACAACAATTTTGGAGATCAGGGTTTGAACCCTGCTTAACCACGGAAATCCACTGAGTGATACTTTCTCAACCTCAGGGGAACACAAGGACAACCCCTCAAAACAAATCTTGACATGAAAACCTTTTTAGGATTACGATACATCAGAACTGATTTGGAGGGAAACAACAACAACATAAGTCCTTATCAGTGGTAACGCAGGCACAGAACTGGACTTCTAACTGCAGGCTATCCCACTGTATGGATCATGAGATACAGCAGCTTGCGGGCTTTGTTCCAAGAACACAATCTTACATTTGACTTTGCCACCATTCCAGCTCTGCTAGATAAAACCTATGCTGTTGTTACGGTAAGCAGTTCTGCCCACCATTCCTGGAAGGTAGAGAACACAGCTGCAGGAAGGACAGCAAGACATTTATTGGTTTGTAAAGAGTAAGGCTGTTCTTCCATCAAAAGGTCAGAATAGCAAAGCAAATAGCGACTTCAGAGGAAACAGAAGTCAAAAGAAAATATTCCAGCTCTTCTATAAAAGGAACCATCTGCAAATAATGACTGCTATTTTTCTTTGAAGACGTCCCATTTTTATTAACCTCAAGACCCAAGCACTGTTCTTTAAAAGGCAACACATTCCTTTTAAGCATGAAAGAAAAAGAAAACCAAAGTAACTTGTGATAAAGATAATGAAGTTGATTTTTAGAATAAGCATGGCATCAGCGCTGAATGTGGAACAGCAATGGGGAACTATTAGAGGCCACACTGCCAACCTCAAAAGCCTACCCATCTAGGGGTCTACACTTCTACCCACCCCCCCCCCATAATATTTGATTTTGCTCCCTAATATCCTCCTACAAGTCATAGAGGAAATTTCACAATATTTTGGGCTTCTCCAGACCATTTTAGAACCAGGACCAGCCTTCTTCTCCAACCAGAAGTGATCTACTCACATTTGCATGTTTTCGAACTGCTAGGTTGGCAGAAGCTGGGGCTAACAGCAGGAGCACATCCCGCTCCTCGAATTCGAACCTCCTACCTTTCAGTCAGCAAGTTCAGCAGCTCAGCTATTTAACTCACTGCGCCAATGGAGGCTCCATTCCAATTACAGCACAGGTGTATGTTGTGCCATAGCTGCCTATTAAGGTCATGTTTGGCCCACAACAAGCCACAAAGGGACTGGCACCCTCCCATGTGGTTTACACTTATGAGCCTCATTGATTCATTCAAACCTGGTTCAATGGCAGTCCAAGAGGCCCGGATGATTTTGATGGGAGAAGCGCTACCACTTTAGCCATGCTCCCCTCTAAACCCAAGAAGGCAACAATTTTGCCCTCCTCCACTTGGGAATCATGAGATTCCCAAGTGGAAGTCATCCAACTGAAGTGTGCAATTCCAAGGGGTTATCAGAGATGGAAATGTTGACAAGCTGGAGTGTGTCCAGAAGAGGGCGATTAAAACGAACAAGTCCTAAAGAGTCACACGTCTACCACCATCTTTTTGTGGATATCTAGGCCTCCTACAACAGCACAGAATTCCTCGAAGGATATCCTTCCATCACCATCTTTATCTGCATTGATTATGGTTTTGTCTACAATTTGCTGCAACTGAGAACAAGCCCTAGGAGGAGCGGCTTAAAGAGCCAGGCATGTTTAGCCTGCAGAAGAGAAGGCCAAGAGGAGTCCTGGTGGCCATGTATAAATATGTGAAGGGAAGTCATAGGGAGGAGGAAATAAGTTTGTTTTCTGCTGCCCTGGAGACTAGGATGCAGAAGAATTGCTTCAAAGGACAGGAAAGGAGATTTCACCTAAACATTAGGAAGAACTTCCTAACTGTGAGAGCTGTTGAAGCAATTCTTCCGCGTCTTAGTCTCCAGGGCAGCAGAAAACAAGCTTGCTCCCTCCTCCCTATGACTCCCTCTCACATATTTATACATGTTCCTCCTTCTCTTCTGCAGGCTAAACATGCTCAGCTCTTTAAGCCGCTCCTCCTAGGGCTTGTTCTCCAGATCCTTGATCATTTTATTTGCACTTCTCTGGACACATTCCAGCTTGTCAACATCTCCCTTCAAATGCAGTGCCCAGAATTGGATGCAGTGTGATTCCAGGTGTGGTCTGACCAAGGCAGAATAGAAAGGTAGCATGACTTCCCTGGATCTAGACTACTGGTTCTCAACCTGTGGGTCCCCAGATGTTTTGACCTTCAACTCCCAGAAATCCTAAAAGCTGGTAAACAGGCTGGGATTTCTGGGAGTTGTAGGCCGAAACACCTGGGGACCCACACTATAGACCAGGGGTCCTCAAACTAAGACCCGGGGGCCAGATATGACCCTTCAAGGTCAGGGTCAACCTAAGTCTGAAATGACTTGAAAGCACACCACAACCACCACCACCACAAGAACCACCACCCTAGCACATCAGCCAAAAGCATGCCCACACTTCCCATTGAAATACTAATAAGCTTATATTTGTTAAAATTGTTCTTCATTTTAATTATTGTATTGTTTTTACGTGTTATTTGCACTACAATTAAGATATGGGCAGTGTGCATAGGAATTCATTCATGTTTATTTTTGTTTTCAAATTATAATCTGGCCCTCCCAGCCCTCTGTTTTAAAAGTTTGGGGACCCCTGCTATAGACACTACACTCTGACCTAGACACTATACTCTCATTTATGCAGGCCAAACTCTCATTGGCTTTTTTTGCCGCTGCATGATATTGCTGGCTCATGTTTAACTTGTTGGCCACAAGGACTCCAAGATCTTTTTCACACGTACAGTGTTCCCCTCGCTACTTCGCAGTTCACTGATTGTGGACTCGCTGTTTCGCGGATTTCAAAAAATATTAATTTAAAATATATATCATGGTATTTTCGCTATTTTGTGGGGTTTGCCGCCGCTGACGTCTCCAAAGCGCTTTCCCTCCAGGCCTGAAGGGCCTTTCCTTCCTTTCCTTCACTTTATTTTAAGTTGATAAAGACTTAAAATAGTGTAGAACTACTAAAATAACTCATAAATATTAAAATAAATAGAGTATCCCTACATCACGGTTTTCACTTATTGCGGGAAGACCTGGAACCATTTTTATTTCCATTCTGTAATGTGAAAAGGGCACCGAGAAGAAGCGGGTGTTTAGTATGAAAGTGGCCTTCCTTTTCTGGGCTGCCTTTCCACAACTTCCTCTCTATGGGCAGGCTTCTCCCTCTCCATTGGCACCAGGTAAGCACACTGTACATTCTGATTTTAATTACAAATATGTATCTATCACAATATATATTTGTAAATACTGTCTAGGAGGCTCCTAGAACCATAAGAGATGCAAAAAAAAAAAACCCCTTATTATCATGCATCTACACCAGGAATGGGCAAACTTGGGCCCTCCAGTGGCTGAGGGGAAAAAGGAAAGGTCTTGAGGCTGTTAGGAATGGTGGGAGTTACAGTCCAAAACACCTGGAGGGCTTGAGGCTATTAGGAATGGTGGGAGTTGCAGTCCAAAACACTTGGAGTGCCTGGGGCTGTTAGGAATGGTGGGAGTTGCAGTCCAAAACACCTGGAGGGCCTGAGGCTGTTAGGAATGGTGGGAGTTGCAATCCAAAAGACCTGGAGGGCCTGGGACAGTTAGGAATGGTGGGAGTTGCAGTTCAAAAGACTTGGAGGGCCTGAGGCTGTTAGGAATTGTGGGAGTTGCAGTCCGAAAGACCTGGAGGGCCTGAGGCTGTTAGGAATTGTGGGAGTTGCAGTCCAAAAGACCTGGAGGGCCTGAGGCTGTTAGGAATGGTGGGAGCTGCAGTCCAAAAGACCTGGAGGGCCTGAGGCTGTTAGGAATTGTGGGAGTTGCAGTCCAAAAGACCTGGAGGGCCTGAGGCTGTTAGGAATTGTGGGAGTTGCAGTCCAAAAGACCTGGAGGGCCTGAGGCTGTTAGGAATTGTGGGAGTTGCAGTCCAAAAGACCTGGAGGGCCTGAGGCTGTTAGGAATTGTGGGAGTTGCAGTCCAAAAGACCTGGAGGGCCTGAAGCTGTTAGGAATTGTGGGAGTTGCAGTCCAAAAGACCTGGAGGGCCTGAGGCTGTTAGGAATGGTGGGAGTTGCAGTCCCAAACACCTGGAGGGCCCAAATTTACCCATACCTAGTCTACACTGGAGAATTAACGCAGTTTGATTCCACTTGAACTGCCATGGCTCAATGCTATGGAGTCCTGGGGTTTGTGGTTTGGCTCATGGCTCAAGACCTTGGGAAAGTACAACTCTACCCAGCCATGGCAGCTATTGTGGAGTCAAACTGCGCTAATTCTATAGTGTAGGCACTCCCTCCAGGCCTCACTCAACAACCACAGGTCAGCTGCAGTGGAAACCAATGCGGAATAAGAGCGTGATAACAGGAGGGCTCCCGGAAGTGGGTCGAGCAGGAAAAAGAAAGAAGCGGGGAAATGGAAAGTGGAGGAGGAGGAAAAGGGAAGACTCACCTGCCCAAGCCTCGCGCCGACCCCAAGGCACGAGTTTCCCGGGGCTGCTTCACCCGCCCCCTCCCCTCGAGTTAAATCCCCGCACTTCCCAGCCTCTCATTGGTCCCGACGCATTCTATTTGGCAAGGTCGGTTCCGCCCCGGCGCGCCGTGCCATTGGTCCTAAGCAGCTGCCAATCAGATGGCTTCCCAATGAAAAGGAGAAGCACAGCCCTAGAAGACCAATAGGGATCCCATCCTCATGTAGGTTTAAAGAGCCGGGCTTTAAGTAGAGAAGGAAGGGAAGTTGCGGTATTTAAATCAGCGCGAGGAGCTCGGTTGTGACACTGGAAGTGCATCTACACAGTAGAATCAATGCAGTTTGGACCCGCTTTTACTGCCTTGGCACAATGCTGTGAAGTCCAGGGATTTGTAGTTTTGGTGGGGCTAATGACCTTGTCAAAATACAACTAAGCCATAGCAATTAAAGTAGTGCCAAACTGCTTTAATTCTACTGTGTGGATGCACCCAAGGTGGTGCAATTCAAAGGGACTGTTGTATTATTCTGGAATAATGGCATGGACCCCATTCTTAGCTACTATGGCTCAATGTTATGGAATTGATACATAATATAATGTATATATTATATATAATATCATGTATAATCTTGTTGTTGTTGTTCATTCGTTCAGTCGTCTCCGACTCTTCGTGACCTCATGGACCAGCCCACGCCAGAGCTCCCTGTCGGCCGTCACCACCCCCAGCTCCTTCAAGGTCAGTCCAGTCACTTCAAGGATACCATCCATCCATCTTGCCCTTGGTCGGCCCCTCTTCCTTTTTCCTTCCACTTTCCCCAGCATAATTGTCTTCTCTAGGCTTTGCTGCCTCCTCATGATGTATAATCTTATATAAATGTATAATCTTATATAAATAATCTTTAATAATTTAATAATAATTTATATAAATAATTTAAGTGGTATCAAACTGCAGTAATTTTAGAGTGTAGATGCATCTGTGATCCAACAGAAGTTGGACACTAGGTTGTGGATGGGTGTCTTAGCCTTCCATCTACACTGCCGTATAATGCAGCTTGAAATGTATTAAACAGTCAGTGTAGACTCATATAATGGTATTCTGTTTAGTTAAACTGCATTATAGTTTGTGTGTGTGTGTCAGCCTGATCCTCTGCGTGCCCGCTGAGAATAGATTCTCTCTTAAGAAGCCTCACACCAAACAGATTACGAAAACTAATTAAATTGGGTTTTAAGAACACTCTTTGCTTTACCAGCATTTGAGCACAGAATCTGTCTCCTAGCCCAGTATTGGGATTAGGAACCTGTAAAATGATGTGTCTCCCTGCTTTGCCTTCCCATTCTGCCATACCAAACATATTTTATCTACTATGGAAACAAATGTATATAACAATAAACCCAGAAAGGTACTCCATTCGCCTCTTTTACACCCCATGAAAGCTTTCAGTATCTGACGTCCTGTCAATCTGCTGAAAACAGAATCTCTAATACACATCTGTTTAGAAGATTGCAGACTGAGAGACCATTCACATGCTACTTCCTTATTATATCACATGCTAAGCAGCTGACCCTAGAAGAGATATCATTATTGTTTCCAGCCATCCTTTGAATCATGTTGTCAGTCATCCTGGTTGGGTCTTTAAATGTTGGACTAAACTGTAGCATTCGATGCCTATTTAGAGGGCAGATTAAAAAGTAAACTAGGTAACTTTTACTAATTTTTACCAATGTAAATGAATGAATGAATGAAACTTTATTCATAGCTCACCTTATCTCCCTGAAGGGATTCACAACAAAATATACAGTGGCTCACAACAAAATATACAGTGGCAAACCTTCAGTGCAAACAATAATATATAAACAAATCAGAAACAACTCCATAAATTGTAAAACAAATAAGTAAACAATATGTAACACAATACACATAATTACAAACATATTAAGTCCTTAAAATCTCATTTAAAAGCTCTAAGATTGGGCTAAAATTGTTGGAGGGGAGGGATGGTGAACTGCAGATTAACAAAGCTGATATTAGCAGCTAGGCGAGAGTGCATATAGATGTATTTAATCCTCCTCCTCCATACTGCAATTTCTGGAAGGCAGGTTGAACAGCCCTTACTAGAAATGCTTGGGACCAGAAGTGTTTTTAAATCTGGACTTTTCTGGATTTTGGACTACCTGTGCACATAATGAGATATCTTGGATCCAAGTTTAAACATGAAATTAATTTATGTTTCATATATACCCAATACACATAGCCTGGTAGTAATTATATCTACAATATTTTAATAATGTTGTGCATGAAACAAGGTTTGTGTACATTAAACTATGAGGGTAAGATTGCCAGGGGGTGCTATGGTATGTGTAGTTTAATAAGTGTTTAAAGGTTTTATTGATTTTAATGATGTATGTTTAATATTCCTATTAATTCTAGTTTAGAATTATAACTTGCAGTTATAATTTACATATTGTTATTATTTTTTAGTGTTAGTTGCTTTGAGTCTCCTTTGGAAAAGGAAAAATCAGGATATAAATACTAATACTACTCATAATAATATAAATGCCACAGAGTGGATTCTGCCCGCTTTGGGATATATTGTCCATGTAGATGGGCTCTTAATAATGATGATGGTGATTGTGCTGTCATGCACTGGGCTTATAGCAGTTGGCTTTTGAACAGGACGTGCTCTTTGTGCCCAGCGGGAAGCCGGGGTGCCTCGAGTGAGAGGCCCTAAGGATTTTCCTATACAGAGTCTTTAGAAGCTTGAAAGGTTTAACAAAGTCCTTTATTATTGCTTAAGTCTTCAACAAACAATCAAATACTTCTTAGATCTTCAACAAATTAAACAAATGCTTCAAGGCTTTGAATCAACTGGTGGCTTTCTTAATCTTGTCCACAAGGGACAGGCAACTGGCTTCGTGAACTGTTTCTTTTCTTTAAGAGGAAAACCCTTTTTAACCCCTCCTTGGGCAATCTACTTTCTAAACTTTGCTGGTGTGGGCTCTACTTCCGGCTCCAAACTGCTTCTTGGGTCCCAAGTAGACCTACCAATCAAGGCTTTGTAGATTCTCCAGCTGGAGCCCTTTGGAACTGTTTCCCCTGGAATTTCCCCCAGATGCTGTAAGAAACGACGCTTCTCTACAGGTGGAGCTAATCCACATCCTGTAGCTAAGCTTTCCAATGCAAGACTGACCTAAAATGGCTCCCTCTCCTCCCAGAGCCCTGGGGAAAGGGTGGAACCAAAACTTAACAATGATTGATGGGTCATTGGCCTTATAATTGCAAACCAAGGGAAGCCCCTTATTGCAAAATGCATGGAACTTTGGAATACATGCAAACATTCAAAGAAAGAAAAGGATGTTGGAGCTTTTGGTACAGCTGTACCAGCAGTGATTATGGCTATATTTATTTGTTACCCATACAACAAAGCTAAAATATATCAATATAAAACACACAGAATAAAATATATAGATCAAAACACACCATTATTAAAAAAAACATACAGTAAACACAGGGTACAAAAATCAACATGCATATCCAAAACTCGTGATTCAAAGTTGACTGTGTAGGCCTGCCAGAAGAGATGGGTCTTCACTTGGGTTTTAAATTCTTATAGCTTGTGTAGCTGTCTTGTAAATTGGTGTTTTGTAAATCGGTGTTTTGATGCACTTAGAGGTTGATGAATCAGATAACTGACAGATAATAAAACATTGCTTACTGGATAGTCAGTGCTCTATAGTGGTTCAATAGTAAGGCTCTAGAAGACTAGAGTTGGGATTTCCTCCAGCAGTGGAAACCTACTGGGAGATCTTGGGCAAATCACACTCTCTCAGCCTTAGAGGAAGGCAATGACAAACCTCTTCTGAATAAATGTTGCCAACAAAACCCTAGGATTGAGCTGTGCTAAGTCAGAATTGGCTGAAAGGCACCAAACAATTTGCTACTTTTTCTTGATACCTAAAACCTGCTGATTGAGATGGATAACCCTTATAAAAATAGGTAATGCCAAATATTGTATACCTGTGTGCATGCTTATTTTCAATGGAAACATCTTCTGACTGCACGGAACAAAAGGGAATTTCCATCAGAATATGACATGCTCTGACAGAAAACAGAAGAGGAGTTTAAAAGCCAGTGTCACTGAAGTCTTAAATACAACCTCAAAATAACCTAGTATGTTGTAAAGCCAAATCCAACTGAAACAATAACAAAGTATCTGGCACCTGATAGTTCTTATGACATGAAAAAGACAGGTAAACTGTGGTCTCCAGAAGTTTTGGATGATAGCCCCTGATTGAAGGTTACATTGTTTAGTATGTATGGGAGATAACTGCTCCTGGTTATGCCCCTTTCTGGTTTTCATGACTTTCCATCTGATGAAATCCATAAAGGTTTATGCACTTTTAATTTTAGAGATGTCACAACATTCATTGTTGTTTTTCTATAATGGATTGATATGGCTACCCTACCTGAAATTAATACTGTTAAAGCTCCGCTGCTGTATACATCTCAGAGCAAATCCCCTCTTAACAAATCTCGCCAAGGCTTTAGGGTCATTTTGAAGCCCAGTCTACACTGCCATATAAAATCGAGATTATCTGTGTTGAACTGGATTATCTGGTAGTGTACATTCATATAATCTAGTTCAAAGCAGAAAATGTGGATTATCTGCTTTCATACTCTGGATTATTTGGCAGTGTAGAAGAGGCCTGAGTCTTAAAGGTCTCTAATGCTCACAACAGCAACATTTGTATTGCATGGATAGCTTGCCACATACTTCTATATTCTAACAAAAAGCTGTAACTAAATCCAGGCCTTGCAGCTTCAACCAATATTGCTTAACAATCAGCCTGAAGCTGAGTTTTAACCATTCAAAAGCTTACCGTATATTCCGGCATATAAGACGACTGGACGTATAAGACGAACCCCAACTTTTCCAGTTAAAATATAGAGTTAAGATGACTCCCACGCATAAGACTACACCCGCGTATAAGACGACCCCTGACTTTTGAGAAGATTTTATTGGGTTAAAAAGTAGTCTTATACGCCAGAATATACTGTACATATTTTATGGTTTTTCACTTATAATCAAGATAT